TTCTTTTTATATAATAAAGTTGACATTTTTTCAGTGTAAGAAATGTACAATATTACTCCCTCGGTTCACTTTTAATTATTTTATTACTTTTTCTAAAAATCAATTTGATTACTTTTAAAAGTTAAATTAGATTACATTAATTTGATATTTTAAACAAAAGATTTAGATATTCAAAAACTATACAAAAAGTACTATAAATTCCAATTTTTTTGCATATCAATATGATGAAAATACATCGTAAAATGTTAGTCAAAATTATTATCGTTTGACTTTAAAAAAGGAAACTATAGATATTCAAGATCTCTAGAAAAAGTACTATACATTACAATTTTTTCCATATCAACATGATGAAAAATACATAATAAAATATTAATCAAAGTTCTTATCGTTTGACTTTAAAAAATGAATCCATTACAATTAAAAGTTAACGGATGGAGTATTAGTTCATGTCATTTCTTACCTCTTAAAATTTTAGACTGTACAACAATTTCATATCAAGTGTCATTTTATAAATCATTAGAAAGAATAAAATGTATATAAATCTTACCCCTACCTTGTGGAGGAAAAACTTCAGCAATGATTAACTTATTTTGACTACTAACTTTAATGTCTAAGTGATTTTTCATCTCTTTCAAAAGGTGATTAATTAGGTATTGCTTAGAGTATTTCTTAAACCTAAAAAGTAATTAGGTTAAGTGAAATTTGTTATTTTTATTTTTACTATTCCATATTTAATTTGGTAAAATTATATTTCTCTAACCTAATTTATGTGGTATTTTTTTCTTCTTTTAAGTCATCCCAAAAAAAGTCACATTTTTTATTTGACAATTATTTAGTGACACCATTCTCCATTTTTTTTATGTGACAACTAATTAACCCTACTTAATATTTTATTGTGAAGAAAAATAAACTGATTAAAAGTAAGTATTAAAGTGACTTTATAATAAGGATCATTTAGTAAAAATAACAAAGTTTTTCTTATTTCAAAAACATTGTATTAATCAAATAATGTCACATAAATTAAGACAAAAGAATTACATGTCCATTAAAGGGATGGAGCTATAGTTAGACCATCTTCAAATTTTTTCAATCCCTCCTTAAAAACTTCTACCTTTTTCACTTTATCAATGAATTCACAATCTTAAGATTGAAAATGACAGGTGTCTACCATCCGAGCAACTCTCTCTTATCGAAAGATCTTTCATGATTAAGATAGGGGTAAAAATGGAAAACCACATGCGCACATATTACACTTTTTCAACACATATATGCATGGGGATCATCAAATGAAGAATTTGATGCAGAAGAAAGCATGTTGCATTGCATGTGCTAGATCTCATAAGTAACTTCTTATTCTTCCTTTCATTTTTATTATTCAATTACTAATCAAATATTTTATTTAATTAAAAATTAAGGGGTTCATTAGAAGTCATTCTCGATACTAAGTACATGAAAATCCGCGTTTATATTAATTATTAATTATTATAACTTAGCCTGACCTATTCAACGTCAAACCTTCAAATAGATTATTGATGTAAAAGTCAACCTTTGTGTATCTCCTTTTTTTATATATATAATTTTTCAGATCCCAACATGTATGATCATTAATTTTTTATTATCCTTATAATAGTTTGTGCAATTTACCAAAGAATTAGGATCAACAAAGAGGATTCTTGATCAGTTACAAGTTGTCATAATAATAATTGCATTTTTTGGAATGGAGAAGAAGATTTTGTCGAAATATTGAAGAGGACGGTTTATGTAAAATTTAAAATATTAAATTAATTTAATACTATTATCAACAAAGTATTGATATGGTATTTCATCCCTCAAAGAGAAATAAGAAAATTTCTCTCTTTTCTCTACCTTATTTATTATCTTCTTTTATTATATTTTATAACAAAAAGGATATTGTCAACTGGAAAACATGTATTTATTCAAATATGTGGCCCCTCCCTAAGAACTACATCTTCTACTGGTCCCTAAACTTTAAAAATCTACCAATGTCATCCCAAGTCTAACCTTCAACCACTTAGTGATAGCACCTAAGAGGCTAAGACCTCTTGACTCTTGCCATTGTAGGACATAGAGAGAGAGCTAGAAAATATATATCTTTTTTTTATAAAAAAAAATCAACTTTCAATTTTGCAAAATTGAAATTTGTAATAATTTTACTTAGAGATAAGTGTAAAAAACACAGCTAAACTATACCCATTTTTTAGTTTCATACCTAAACTATTGAGAGTGTGTGTTTCATACCTAAACTATCAAGAAACAAACTAATAAGTACATGGGTTATTATGGTTGGATTTTTGGATATTTATGAATTAATCATAGTTGTGAAATTTAAATTTTATTTTTAAAAATATATTTTTTTTGGGATAGTAATACTTTAATCTTTAATTTTTTTAATTAATATTAATAGTTTATTATTTAAATTTTTTCAAGGTGAAATATTTTATCCATGTGGAATGTCATGTGTCAAAAAAAAATTTCAAATAAAAGAGAGAGTGCGTTACACACACCACCGAGGTGTGCTTCTCAAATTAATAAGTGATAGTTTAGGTATGAAACTCACACTCTCAAAAGTTTAGGTATGAAACTAAAAAAAGAATATAGTTTAGGTGTGTTTTTGACACTTATCTCTTTTACTTATATAGACACATTTTGTAAAGAGAATATTAATTTAGATAGGTAGAGAAAATAATAAATAGTTGAAGCGTTGCAAAATCTGAAAATATTTTTTTGAAAAAATATGTACACACGTTTTTTTTAAAAAAAAAACGCCACCCAAATATTGTTAATCATCATGTAATTATAGTTGATTTGTAGGTGAATTGTGCAGGTGTTGAATCTTGTATAAGTAACATCACGTTCAATATAGTTGGTTAGGAGGTAAGTAATTCATGCATAAAAATAATACTGATCTGTAATTTTAAAAACTCACATAACTAATACATGTATAAGTAATAAATTATGATGAGTCTATGTATTATTTTATGCATAATAGAAAATAAAATGACTAATACATAAATAACTAAATATTACTAAACTAATTCCTACATATCTCTCATAGTAATATCTACGTAACTTTTACTAGCTATCAAACGACTCATGTCTTGTTAAACATTCCTAAAATCCTCATGTTCTATTTTTATTAACCTTCTTTTATTGTTGATGTGATGTAAGCATAAAAATAAAATAAACAAATAAAACTAAACAAAAGAAGGACATATTTATGGATTGGTCCCTCAGTTACTAGTTATAGTCTTCTGTTGGAAACAAAAATTTATTCACGTGGTGTGTTGTGCATCATTTTCGTGAAATTATATGTGAAAGAAAAATGATAATGATATTAGACGGTTAGAGACAAATTTAAGATTTAAATTCACAACTTGCAATTTTTATATTATTAATTTAAAATAGTTGTCATAGTTCGTTTTTATAGAGTTAATTTAGCTAATTTTTGAAGTTAATTGAATTAAATCAATTCAATATTTAAAGATTATACGAAAAATACTATCAGTTGCAATCTTACCCACGTCAATATGATGAAAAAATTACATCTTTAAATATAGATCAAAGTTTATATAGTTTGACTCATTAAAAACAAAATATGACATGTATTTTAAAATGGAGGAAGTATTTGTTAAAATTGTATTACTTTTAATATACATATTTAATTTTGACATATAAAATATTTTTATTCAATTAAATCCATCCAAATCATGTTGTAAGCAGTCTTCACGTATCAAATTTGGTGACGTTTAATTGTCCATGAAGATGTCACAAGATAACGGTTTATACTTCACTCTACATTAAAATTTTCTCATAAATTTGTGTCTTGCCCAATTATCCCAAGTTTAAAAATTTGATGAACCGCAGAGATATAGGCGTTAGGGATAGTCGAGTAGGCTTAGAGTTATCGTCAAGATGTCCAATAAGTAATATCAATCTGCAACTAGGAATTCAAAAAAATTAATAGGTGAATCAATTGAAGAATACAATGTGGTTGTTAGATAGTCCATAGATTGATTCATTCGTCTATAACAAAAAAATTGTTTTCATTTGGTTTATTATCCATTAGTTATTTTCTTTTAAATTTTTAGTTGAGTTAATTCAAAATAATAACTATTTTTTTCGCTTGAATAAATAGTTAGCATTAATTTAATTTAGTAAATAGATAACCACAAGTCCATGTGGGTAAGATATTCAACTCTCGAGTCACTTATTTCTTGTATGATCACATATACTTGTGTGTGCATTTGGAATATGAATAGTTTCTCTATTCTCATTTGTCCAATTGTATTACTATTGTAGTTCCTTTTAATTGTATTATTTTGTTGTCAATACTATCTTCTTTCTTTCTACGATATTTTTCTATAGTTTTACTCTTGTATTTGTTAGATCTGTTTTTGTAACACTATCCTCACGCCGAAGGTCTATCGAAAATAGACTCTCTACCTCACACAAGGTAAGGACTAAAGAGTAAGATCAGTTTACTTGCTACCCTTCCAAACCTCACTTATGAAATCTCATCGATATGTTTAATGATTTCTATTGGTATGGACTATATGGATATTAAGCAAATGAAGTTTCTTCTATATAGAATTACTTATTATTTTTCAGTATTGTTGGGTTGAAATATGGGAAATCTCCAATCATAAGTTGGACAAAAGAAAAAATTTCAGCCCATGGGCTTATCAAAAAGATGTCTACTCTCAAAACTAAAGAATGGGCTTGACCCATATGATAGAAATTCTTCCATCATTGGGCTCTTTAGCCAATTACTCTGTTCCACACTATTGACCATAAAGGTTTGCACATAGGGATAGAAGACACTCCGACTATAGCATATCGTAAAAGAAACACACCGGACACGTGAGAGTCAAAAGTTCAAGACCGCCCATTTGAATCACAGAAGAAATGTTCAAAATATGTTGTCCCAAAATTTCCATCTCCACAACAAAGAACTAATAGGAAGGAAATATATGAAACAAATTAAGAACATAGTACATATAGAATGTTGTAGTTACAACTTATGGGTAGAAATTGGATCTTCAACTATAAAAACAAAAATAAAATTAATACTTATCAATTATGTACTTGTTCTTAGTTTCATTTTTCTTAGGAAGAAGTAGGCTAACACCCTATATCCAATAACCATCACCAACATTGCTCCTACTTCAACTCCACTAGAGTCATCAACAGAGCCATACTTTGAATTTCTCAAGGATTTGAACTGAATCTTTAAGAGAAGCCTGTATGTGTGATAGTTAATCGAGATATAACGAACCCATGACATGAATGCTGGAACTTCCTACAATCATAAAATCAATCGAAATCAGTCACATTGTTTGATATTGACTAACTTTTTCTTGTACTAGTCCATTTATTGTTCCTGATCAACTTCGCGTTCCAAAATAAGTGGTGCAAATTGTAGCTAATAAGTTGTACTTGAAGCAACATGATTCAATTGAATCCCATCCATTGAAAATTGTACTATGCGCTAATATTGTTGAATTCTAGTGTTACTTATTATGATAGTTATCATAACACTAACATCAATGTTGGTTTATATATCATCATCCATGTGCTGATAAGACATTATTAATTATTACCTGGACAAAGAATCCTCCAGACAACATGAATGTCATGAGGATAACAGAAGCAAAAGTTGTTGCTTTTTTCACATCCATGAATGCTGCACCTATAGCCAAACCTAAGCCCTGAACATAGTGAACCCCAAATGTCATGTCAAGACCAACTCTGCTTTGATATATATATGATACTCCCTCAGTTTTAATTTGTTTGTCTGCTTTTGACTTCATATAGAGAGTTTAAGAAAGTAAAGAATACTTTTCTTAAACTGTTTTTAATCTTGTGGTGTTAAACATGTTATGAAAAGTTGAAATTAAAGAGTTACCAGGAAAGGAAAGTAAGACAAACAAATTGAAACAGAGGGAGTAATAGCGGAAAAAGAAATCATAACTTCTAACCTGAGCAGCAATTATGCTTAGTAAAATTGTGAGCAGAGTTAAAGAAAATGCATTGAATGTCAGCTTCAATCCAACCATAAAATAGACAATCACCAAGAATGTTACAGGCAACACTAGGTCCAGGAGAAGATCAGTGGTGATTCTGGCTATGAAATAGGCACTAAGCTTGTACATATTCACTGATCTCTCTTTAACCAACATAGCCCTTTCTTGTGGGAATGTGAAGATTGCTGTAAATAGTGGAAAGAAACCCCAAAATACTGAAATAAAGAATAACAACCCTGCCTGCAATGTTTTCCTAAAAAAATTAGTTGAAGGACTAGGATGAAGCAGTTGCGGAGCCACCTTATGCTAAGGGGTGTCTCGCCAAAAAAATAGTTGAAATTTTACTGGTTTTATGTATATATGTTGTATGTTGTCTACTTTTTTATATTTTGACACCCCTTAGTAAAATTTCTGGCTCCGCTACTTGGAAGAAGCATGCTAGTTTAAAGACAAAATGATCCTTGTTGTAAGAAATACATTACTTGCCTGATCTGAAATTCTTTTAGGGAATGAAGTATCTGAATTCCACCATAGTAAGCCAACAATTATAGCTGTTGCTATGACTTGAGTTATCCGGAGACAGCTGAAATACTCGTGGTTTCGCTCCTTGAGACTTCTTCCGAAAAGAATTGTAAACTGTTGGCACCAGGTTGCACCAGAATCTCTTGAATTAGGCCAATTCTGCACTTCAGAATCTTCTTCTATCAGGCCATGCTTCAGGAGTTTTAGTTTCTCTATGTTGGCAACCCTCGACTCATAAGCCCCAACGAAATACTGAAATGTTTGGTTTTTAAGTGTATATATTATCATAATAATATGGTTTATCACATAGATTAAGAAAAGAAGGGTGATCTCTTATACCTCATGAACATCAGCTGGGGAAGGTCCTTCATTTTGCATTTTGAAATGATGGTTTCCTGGTAAAAGCTTGTCCTCTAGATCTGAAGGTATAGACTTTTCCGTTATATTTCCATTTGCAAGATCAATTAGAAACTCTGCTGGATTCATGGCTATAAGGGGAGAACAACCAATTGAAGAGAAATACAGCATTGCCTCAGAGGCTTTGCCAAAATACAATGAGCTGCCTTGTCCTAATAGAATCAACTTATCGAATCTGCTGAATAGTCGACTCGATGGCTGATGTATTGTTGTTACCACTGTCTTTCCAGCCTATCAAAATAAGATGATTTATTTAATGAGACTTATAAAAAGCTAGTATGACTTGATGAGACTCTTTGATAATGAGTACCCTGGCAGTGTTACGTAACATCTGCATAATTCGAAGTGCTGTGGTTGAATCCAGACCAGATGTTGGTTCATCTAGGAACAAAAGTGATGGATTCAGAAGAATTTCATTTCCAATGCATACTCGTTTCCTTTCGCCTCCTGAAACTCCTCTAACAAATGCCCCTCCAATTATAGTGTCTTGACACCTGAAATTACATTTCAGTGTCCAACTTTAGAAAACATTACAATCTTAGAAGCATGAAATAAGTTAAGCTAGTGACAGTTCGACATAACAATGCTGTCCCGCGTATTCCATTCTTTCTGATGTTTTAGCATCTGTGAGTTCTAGCATGTGATCGAAAAATATTTTGGTCTTTTTATGTGGTATAATCATAACACTTTAATGAGAAGAGATTTTTTTGGTAATAGGAAATGAAGAAGTTACCTTTCTAGGCCAAGCTCATTTATAACTCCAATAGCTCTCTCTTTCTTCTGCTCTTTAGATAACGTATTAGGTAGACGAAGCAAAGCAGCGTATGTTAAGGTTTCTTTCACAGTGAGATGGGGAAAAACAACATCATCTTGCAGCACAAACCCGATCCTGTTGAGTGATTATTGTAAACATTACATTTGATCAACTATTTAGGAGAATTTCTATCAGGACTTGTGAATTTACCTTTGTTTCAATGACTTGTTATATGGCTGGTCATTGAAAGTAATCGTGCCACAATCATTTTTCACCTTTCCACTTAGAAGCTTGAGTAAGGTTGTTTTACCACCACCCGAAGGTCCCATTAACGCGAGAATTTCTCCTGGACAGGCTGAACCACTCACTCCTTGAAGTATGCACTTTTCTGTATCAGAATTCTCCACTCCCTTCAGTGCCACGGTGTACTTCACATCTTGAAACTACAAAACAAGTAGAAAAATTGTAATATGTTCCTACTTTTTATATAAAGCAGTAGAATGTTCGTAAGAGATGATCCATGCATTAACCACCTTGAGACGTATACGCAAGGTAGGCTCAATCTGAATTCTATTCCAGCTGCATGAATCGTCATCCTCCTGATCCTTCGATTTCAATATATTGTTCTCTGAATGACAAAAAAAGGGGACTTCTTTCAGAAATCACATTCACATACATAAAAAAAAGGCAAACCTAGCTGCTAGTATATATGTGTTCACTGCCATAATTGTGGCAGGTAATTTTATGTTCTGATGTCTTGTGATTTTCTTACTTTTTTGTGAATTTTCTAACGTCACGTCATCAGAGATGCTTGATGAGGAAATGGGGGATCGATCGGATGAGAAAGATCCCATTTTCCCACTTGGAGTCTTGCTTAAAAGTGCACCTTTTTCATTATCAATATCACTCATCATCTCATCTATGTTTATTAGAAAATGAGAACTAAATGATCTTGCATGACACAAGGATTTTCCATGTACTGGTGATTCCTCTGCAGAGTCTAGGCTTCGCATCTTCATTAAGCGTGTCTTAGTCTTTTTATTGCCTTCTATTTTCCTTATGCAAAAACTATTCCTGTTTTTTTCAGGTGGGAAAATCTCATCCCCATCGATATTCTGCATGATGACAGCCTCTTCCTTGTCAATGCTCTTGGAGTGATCTAGTTCATGCTCCATATATCGCGGTTGGTTAGACTTCAAACTGTAAACATAAAATGTGTCAGTTTAAACATAAAATGCAGAACATTCACAATTGCTAAAACAAAAATAACTCTGCTCAACATATGTTCAAGACAATCTTGGAGAAAAAGAACTAATATTTGAAGCAAAGAAGAGAAGAACCTGAGGAAGATTTATGCAATTAGAATGTTTACTGGCTTAAATTTTCTTGTTATAAGTTTATATAGACCTTCTTTTTTTTTTGAGGTGACAACATTGAGATCTCATATGGTTGTTTCAATTAAGGCATCTTTCAATGTCAGGAGAAGAATTGAAACTTTTCAGTACATTTATTGATGTTTCATTTTCACAATGTCTAGAATGTACATTTTGATTGGTCCTTCCATTAGCATTATGAGATGCAGTTGGCCATATTTGGAATTCCCTATAGATAAAGTAAGTCAACAGTGCTTCCATAAAAAATCACCATACATTTTGAATTTTGTCATTTCAAAATTGAACTGAATTATGATACATGAAACTTTGCCTAAAGCAAGTTTTGTATAGCATTACTATTTCCCAAACCAAGTTGATCAACTGTTTATTGACTTTTGGTGCAATGCATCATCTCCTAGCCCTTTCAGTTGATGTTATTTGACATTATGGACATGCCAACTGGTTCATGGGACAACGTATAGCCCAATTCTTACGCGTCAATAGTTATTTAACTTTGGATTTAAGTTATATACGTTGACAATATAGAGTAAAGAATTTTACTGGTTGTATATATAAATGAGGGTCTATGAGATTTCACTGGATATGTCGTTGTTGACGTACATAAAAGAGTGCAGTCTGGTGCAAATAAACTCCGCCTGAGGAAGGACTGAACCACATTTGGTCTATCATACACAGACTTGCCTTAAATTGTTCGACCACTTTGGGTACAGTGTAAATAGCTTACCTTACACTTTTGCAAGAGGTTGTTTTCCACCGCTTGAATCCATGATCTGTATTCACATGACAGTAACTCTTTCCGTTGCACCAAAGAACTTTGTCCTTACTGTCAGTAGATAGAACTTAAATTTCTAAATATTTAAAGATGTGAAACAGAAAATACTATTCAAACTGATCTTCCAAACGCAGAGGCAGAGTCAGAATTATTAGTTTATGGATTCTGTATAGATTATTTGTACATATCAAATGAATATTTTAACATGAATACAGAGTTTAAGCCAAAATTACTGGATTCTGCCAAACGCGTAACAACCATTATGGCTCCGCTCCACCCTGTAATCTAACGGTTGGGGAAGCATTCATTTGTCTTATCAGCACAAGGATGCTAGCATATAAAAAAACAAATGCTTATTATCTAATGGTGCAAAAACTATCAGAAGAACTTAATTATGCAATGGTTTGGATTAGACAACTTTTGGATTGCTGTTTGTATAACTTCGCAATGTAATGTTAAGGTTGCGTACAAACGACCCTGATCTCCAGACCTCACTTGTGGGATTACACTGCGTATGTTGTTGCTGTTGTTGATTTTGTGTTTGAAGTTATTTGGATTGTACAACATGTACAATTAATAAGGCATGAAGAGAGTCAGTCACTAGAGGTTGAGGTCATGGCCGGTGCCCTTTGAGCTAGGGCAAAGAATAGAGCATGCATAAAAGATTCATTGAGATATGCTCTCATGTCAGGTAGCAGTAGCAATCTGTACCTCCTTTTTTCTCAAGGAAATCACTGTTTTTTTTTAATTGTTACTTGTTTTAAAATCATGCTACTACACCTTTTGATCATATAACTCTCCTCAAATAAATGAGAATCCCACATGAATACATTTTCCTGTTGGAACCCCAAGTCTTGGTCAATATTCAAATTTGAGTGGCCTATGTAACATACATACTAGACAATAAGGATTAATATATATAGCCGACCCCAACTTGCTTGGAATCGAGCTGTGGTTATTGTTGTTGTATGTAACTGATCATGATGTCCAAGTCCAACTCATGATCTGATTTGAATATGCTGATTATTAAAGGATCATAGCATACTTTGTTATGAATCTCTGTCAGTCTAGAAGGGGGAGCCTTGGAGAAACAGTAAAGTTGTCTACATGTGACTTGAGTTATAGGTCACAGGTTCAAGCCTTGGAAATAGTAACTAATGCTTGCATTAGGTTAGGTTATCTGCATCACATTCACACCCCTTGGGATGCTACCCTTTCTCGGACCCTGGTAATGCGAGATGCTTTGTGCAACGAGCTTCCCTATAATCTGCAATATTGTCTAGATATTACATTGTAGAAGGATTCAAGATAGCATAAATCAACCATTCCCAAGATATTTCTGAAGTTATTGTCTAGAAGCTACCTGGGTATCTTCATCTAGCCTCTCAAAGTGAATCACTTTCTTTAAAATTGAAAAATGGAAGTTAATGAAACCAAAGATAGCACCATCAAAAGCAAATGTTAGTGTTCTTCACCATCATGACAGAGAAAGAACTATGTCCTTGTAACTTGTAAGTTGTGACCATGATCATCACACACACATGGTCATCAAGGGATGTTAAATCTGCCTTAAAGCACTGGAAAGTGACTGATCAAAGAGCACGCCTAGTACATACGTGGTGTTCCAAGTTGACACACGAAGGACATACGAAACCATAACTCTTTGTAAGTCATTTACTCATTTTTTTCACCAAGACAAGGGGCAAGTTTACATGTTTCATTGGCCTTCACTCACAATTTAAGGTGTTTAGATAGTAACCTTCAACCAGAGTTATATGATCACTTGCAGAATTTCAAGTTGATAAGTAAAAGTTCCTAAACTACTTCACACTACATGCACTACAACAATACCAATTGTTCTGAGTTGATTTCTCAGATGGTCACTCATTATCTCAAAAAAGTCACTTTCGTTGAAGAAAATTGGAATCAAGAAGTAATTAATCATTAATCCGATATTTCTCTAGATAAGGGGCATGTCTGTGCTAGCTTGCACACACTTCAACAATTTCAACGTACTTCGATCTCTACTTTCTTCTAGTAATAATATATGTAAGTTTTTCCGAGTATGAACAACACTAAAATCTGGTTTAATTTAATTGCTATTAAACGAGTTGAACATGAATTTGATGACACTTTTAGAAATCAGAAAAAAAGATAATGATGAGAGCAAACTGCATACTTCATTATATTGATCATTTCTAGCAAAATGTTTTGGTCTAAAACATTAGTGTCTTGTATGTTGCCTCTACCCAAAGAAATATAGGCCCCTGCCCTCATATGTCTTTTTTCTATAACCACCAAAGGATGCGGTGGAATAGATAGATCCTTCCACTTTTAACCAGAAATTTCGAATTCGAGCTTTAAAAATGAAGAAGCCCCTAGTAAGGTGTAGCACCCCAGAAAATTTTTGAGCCAAGACTTGAACCGTTTTTCGTTGTGAGTAGGATTTTACCAAGGAATTTGAAATTTCTTAAGTATTAAGGTCAGGTCACTAGATGTAGCACCTTGAGTTCCAAAAAGAACTAAATTGGAAATAGCAAAATCTGAAATTTTGCAAGTTATGCTTAAGTATAAGTTTTGGGTCAACTTCAAACGACCATATATCTTAGAATATAAAGAGTTACGTGAGCCATAACCTATCCAATTAAAGGTTTTGAATCTACTTTCCAACGCCACCAAGTTTGCTAAATTTCGAGTTCGTATGAGGGAGATATGTCCATTCGAAGTTGGTCTGTCTAGATAAGGAAAGTCAAAGCCAGATTTTAGAGGGGTATTTTGGTCTTTTTCTTACCCAATCAGATTTAAATCGTTTTTAGTAATAATTTAGGGGTCTAATCTGATTAGGTTCAGTTTTATAATCCTAATACGCCTAGGGTTTTAGTTGAGAGTTCAACAAGAGAAAAGAAGAGAAAAGAGGAGAAAAGAGGAGAGAAGAGGAGAGGATCAAAGCGTTCGTCGAGAGTCTTGCGTTTTGATGCGTATTTTCGCCATGGGTTTAATCTCTAAGAGGTATGTAAGCTTCCATAGTGTTGGGTTCTTTCACCCACACGCCAATCATGATTTATTCAGCGTAATTTCGTTCTTGAAATTTAAGGATTTAAGTTCTTGATAAGTGTTCTTGAAGTTTCATTAAGTTTTGATGTAAGATTCTACTTGGGTCAACTTCAAACGACCATATATCTTAGAATATAAAGAGTTACGTGAGCCATAACCTATCCAATTAAAGGTTTTGAATCTACTTTCCAACGCCACCAATTTCGCGTCAATCCAATTTCTGAGTAAAAAGTTATGACTATTTTAGTAACCTATACAGTGTTGTTACGAATTAGGCGATGGGAAAATATTAAAAAGAGTCATTTTTGTCTTTTTACCTCCAAGAAAACCATAAACGAATTTCTTGACTAATAAAAGGCTCAAAACAATCAGATTTTCATCTTCACTAATGAAAAATCATAATTCTTGGCCATAGAGATTTCAAGAAACTAATTCAAGAATCTCAAGAAAGGTTTTCTTGATTGTTTACCTTCAAGCTAGGGTTTCAAGGCTTCTAATCAAGTTATTCTTCAAGATTCTTAAAGATTCTTCAAGATTCTTCAAGAATCTTCAAGAATCTTGTTCTTCTAGGTATGTAAGGCTATCATAGTGTTGGACTAGTTCATCCTCACCCCCTACATCTACTTTCAGATCAGAAAAAGAGTAATCTAGGATATTTTCCCTAGATTTGAGTATTCTTGAGATAAATTGATTTTGAGTTCTTGAATTCATGTTTCTTTTAAAAGTTCTATTCCTAATTATCGAATAGATATATTTTTATTGAGATCATTCATATCATGAATCATAACTCTTGAATTCATAATTCAAATTCAAGAGAGAGTTAAGAGTAGAGTTCAAGGAAACCTTTGAGTTCAATTGTGAATCCTTTGAGATCCATCATCGATTTGAGTTAAGTTTTGATTAAGTATGAGAATGAGTAGAGTCGTATACATGAGTTCCTTATTGATATTTTGACCCTTGAGTTGAGTCGTTCATGCCCTTAACTTCCGCATGAACTTCATCAGTTGAGTACCTTTGAGAGGAGTAGTCTCTTCAAGTTCTAAGTATTGAGTTCCTAATCCCCTATGAGATTATATTTATAATCATGGCACTATTACATGTTACCCATGAAGTCCTTGAGTTAAATTGTTAATGCCTATAATTCCGCATGAACCCTATAAGTCAAACAGTGTTGAGATGAGAAGTATATTTGAGTCCTTGAGTTGAGTAGTTCATACTCATAATTCCGCATAAACCCTCTGAGTTGAGCATTCTTGAAATTAGTAGTATCATTGAAGTTCTTGAGTTCCAAGTATTAAGTTCTATCCCTTCCAATCACAAATCACAATCCTTGAATCCATAATTCAATTCAAGGACCAGGTAAGAGTCAAGTCAAGAACAGTTAAGATAAAATTCAAGAGAACTCAAGAGTCAAGTTAAGAGAAACTCATAATGTTTTCCAAAAGTCTTTTAATAACATTTTAACTCTGATATAAGACTTAAGTTTCGAGTTCAGTAAAGAGTAATTTTGAAGTTTATTTCTTCAAATGTATATGGGGGCTATGTATTCCCAAAATAGTTTAAAAGAGACGTTGAGCAAGTTATTCAGTAAAGAGCGTTTGAGCTAGTTTTTCAGTAAAGAGCGTTTTGGGCTAGTTTTTAGTTAAAGGGTAAATGCTTTCACAATAAAGCAAGAGAGGAAACCTTGATTTCCAAGATAGCCTTTGAGCTAAGTTTTTGAGCAATTATCTCAAATCATAGAAAGAAGTATGTTTTAAACATAAAGAGCTAGTATCATATTTTGGGAGTAGTATTGAGCACCGATATGGGGACGAGCTTGAGTTCAGATAACTCACGTCTCCATAAACCATGTAGTCATTGATGTTTATCGTGACCAATGACACTAACCTATGGTATGAGTGTCTACGATCGTCGATAATATAGTAACCCAACTAAATGTTGGGGTCGTGTCCCAATCAGGGGCGGATTTATGTTGAACCAATCCGAACCTCCTTCGTCGAAAAATTACACTATATATATACGATTAAATTTTTTATTTATGTGTATATATATAATATTGAACCCCCTGAACATACATCAAAGGCGTAGCTCAGTGGCGTTGGGGGTTCAAGAATTCGCGCTCCTGCATGTGAGGTCGCGTGTTCGAATCCGAACAGAGGCAATTTTTTATCAGCTTATATTTTAGGCGGGAATTTAAGATTTATTAGTTTAATCCCTAATTATAAAGTCAAATATTAAAAAGCCCTTTTCTTCTTTATTAAAACCCTGATAATCCCTAATTACAAAGTCAAATATTAAAAAACCCTTTTCTTCTTTTAGGATTTTATCACATTTTATTTTTTTCATCGCTCTTCTTCCTTGCTCTGGCTGCTGCTTGTCGCTACTGGCCGCTCCTTGTTGCTGTTGGCTGCTCCTTGTTGTTGCTGCTTGCTGCTTCTATTGAATTGGTCATTATTGAAATCTTGAAGTCTATATCCCCAATCTTTCTTTCATCTCCATTAATAACTACTTCGATATGTTTTTGGTTCCCTTTTTTCTTACTAGATTTTTATATACCTTATTTCATTATTTCTTGATGTGCTTTCTTTTAGTTGGCTGAATTATTGATATCATTGAAGTTTCATTTTTTTGTTTGGCTAATTTAATATATTTTCTTAATCTAAAATTGGAGAGATAGAGAAATATAATGTAATAATCAAATAACCATTGCTTAAGCTTTTTGGTTTTGGTCCTTATTGTGTGTATGTTTTTTTTTTTTAATAGTTATGACTGCTGAATGTGTGTTTATTTCTCTTAAATTCTAACTAAACTTTTACTTTACAATCCAGTCTTAAATCTTAATATTCAATGAAGAAGTATTTTACCCCAATATCGAAATCAAGTTTAGCCTCTCATAGTCATAGTCAATCTAACCAACAAGAAAATGTCAATCATTCTGAAGTACCATCACATTCTTCTCAAGAATTTGATTTGAGTACTTTAAAGTTTGATCCCGGTGAAAGAACTCCAATATTGAATTATCATCCAAATCATCGTGATGTTATTAGAAGGGCATACCTTGTGAATGGTCCTTGTCAACCTCGCTTGGAGGTGCATGAGTACCCTCAAACAAATATTTCTGGAGCAATACGTCGTTTTAATCATGAATGGTTTGATGATGTATATCATGATTGGTTGGAGTACAGTGTTAGTAAAGATGCAGCCTATTGTTTGTATTGCTATCTATTTAAAGATCATAACATTAATCAAGGTGGAGGTGAAGTATTTTCATGTACAGGATTTAAGAATTGGAATAAAAAGAGTGGTCTTGACAAGCATATTGGTCTGCAGAATAGCCCACATAATCGATCAAAAAAGAAATGTCAGGATTTACTACGGCAACAACAGTCGATTCAATCTGCATTTGAGAGACAATCTAATCAAATTAAACATGGATATTATATCCGCTTAAGTGTTTCGGTTGATGTAGTAAGACTTCTCATAACTCAAGGACTCGCATTTCGAGGTCATGATGAATCTAAATCATCACTTAGTAGGGGTAATTTTCTTTAGATTCTCTCATGGTATGCAAAAAGATGTGATAAAATTCGTGATTATGTACTTGAACATGCCCCTCAAAATGATCAAATGACTTCTCCAATAATTCAAAAAGATATTGTGACTGCATGCAAGATAGAAACAGTTAAAACTATTCTCGAGGAACTAAATGGTGACTAATTTGCCTTACTAGTTGATGAATCTTTTGATATTTCACGCAAGGAGCAAATGTCTATGGTATTACGATATGTTGATAGAATGGGATTTGTGATGGTGCGACTTATTGACATTATTCATATTCAAGATACTAGTGCATTATCCTTGAAAGAGACAATTATTAACTTACTTGCTCAACATTCTTTGAGTCCATCACGTGTGCGTTGATAATGTTACGTTGGGGCAAGCGATATGCAAGGTGAGGTCAATGGACTTAAAATGTTGATTAGGCAAGAAAGTAGATTGACTCATTCTATACACTGTTTTGCTCATCAACTTCAACTAACTCTTGTTGGGGTCTCTAAAAAGTGTGTTGAAGTGGGAAAACTTGTAGTATTGGTCTCAAATATTTTTAATGTATTGGGATCTTCTTTTAAGCGTATGGATGATTTACGAGATTCCCAAAAGGCAGCAATTCAGGATGCATTAGATATGGGTGAACTGACAACCGGTAGGGGCTTGAATCAACAACTTGGTCTTTCAAGAACTTGTGATACTCGTTGGGGATCTCATTATAAATCTTTTAACAATTTTATTCTTATGTTTGGCTCTATTGTTGAAGTTCTTGAATCACTTGCTCTTGATGCACGAAGTATGGATGAAAGAGCCAAGGCAATGAGACATCTTGAATCTTGTCAAACATTTGAGGTTGCGTTCATGTTGCATTTGATGAGAGATGTATTAGCAATCACAAATGAGCTCAATAAATGCTTACAAAGAAAGGAGCAAGATGTTGCAAATGTCATGCTACTTGTTGAAGTAGCAAAGAAAAGGTTGCAAGTTTTAAAGGATGATGAATGGAATTCTCTTATTGCTAATGTATCTATATTTTATACCAAACATGAAATTTTGATACCTAACTTTGAGGAGCCATATGTTAGCTCTTTAAGATCACAGCGAAGACTTTCTCACTATACAGTCTTACATCATTACCGTGTTGAAGTGTTTTGCAATATTATTGATTGGCAACTTCAAGAGCTTAATGATTGTTTTAATGAGGTAGCTACTGATTTGCTCCATGAAATTGCTTGTTTGAATCCAATTAACTCGTTTTACAAGTTTTTGACAGCAAAAAATAATGAGGATGGCTGAATTATATCCAAATGATTTTGATGAATTTAATATGGATACTCTTGAGAATCAACTTGCAATTTACATTGTTGATGTTCGTGATGTTGATGAAAGGTTCTCTGATCTAAATGGACTTTGTGATCTTTCCAAAAGATTAGTCCAAACAAAAACACATTCAAATTATCCTTTGGTGTTCTGCTTAGTGAAACTTGTTCTACTTCTACCAGTTGCCACTGCATCTGTTGAAAGAGCTTTCTCGGCAATGAAGTTTATCAAGAATGACTTGCGAAGTCAAATGAGTGATGATTTTTTTAATGGTTGTTTGGTGCCTTTTGTAGAAAAAGATGTATTTGATAGTATTCCTAATGATGCTATTATTAAGACATTTCAAGATATGAAACCTCGTAGAGTACAATTGTAATGATCTATTTAAGTTTTTAGATATATGTATGTGCGCTATTATTTATGTGATTAATTATTTTTCTTGAACCCCCTTGATAAAAATCCTCCCTCCGCCACTGGTCCCAATAGAGTGGTTTTGAGAATTAATAGAAAAATAAATTTTAGCTCTAATTAGTCGTAGCTAAAGACATTAACGAGTAAAAACATAATAATTAAAGGGGGTGACACAAAAGTGTCAAATATCAATTGGGGGTTTTCTCACAAGTAGTAAAAACAACAAAAATAACAATAAAATCAAGTATGAGGAAAAAGTTCTTGGGGTGTGACCGCAATACAAGTTGAGATTAAATCGTTGGGTACATGCTTTCGATAGGAATTTTGCAAGATAATAGTGACTAGGCCAAGCTTTAGATGGAAATAAGTTCCCTCTCGGGAAACTTACCTCATTTCAAATGTGTTCCTTTCGGACACCCATTTGCTGCATGAAGGTCAGCCTATGCCTTACCCCACTCACTCTCTCGAGCTGAGTGTTAGGATATGGGACTAGGGCTCACCCTCTCGGGCT